CATTATATAGTATGATGCCCATTGTGAGCTTAATTTGATTTTTACTAATGACTAATAAGGTTGAGCATCTTTTCATGTGCTTATTATCTGTTCATATATCTTCTCCCATAACATTTCTACTAAAATATTTTGTTCATTTTTAAATTGGATTGTCTTATGACTTATTTATATATTCTGGAAATGAGTCATTTATCAGATAAATAATTTGTAAATAATTTATCTGGTCTATGGTTTGTCTTTTCATTTTCTTGATGGTGTCCCTTGAAATTTAAATGTTCTGAACATTAATGAAACCTAATATATTAGCATTTTCTTTCACAAGTTGAGCTTTTGATGTTGTAAGTAAAATATTTGCTGAATACAGAGATGGAAAAGTTTCATCCTAAAGGTTTTATAATTTCTTTTTTAGGAATGGCAAAAGCTGGAAGCATGTCCCTTGAAAATTGACACAAGACAATGATGTCATTTCTCACCACTCCTTTTCAACATAGTATTCAAAGTTCTGGCCAGGGCAATCAGGCAAGAAAAAAAAAATAAAGGGCATTCAAACAGGAAGAGAGGAAATAAACTATCCCTGTTGGCAGATGAAACGATCCCGTATCTTGAAAACCCCATCATTTCATCCTCAAAGCTTTTTAATCTGATAAGCAACTATGGCAAAATCTCAGATACAAAATCAATGTGCAAAAATCACCAGCATTCCTATACAACAACAACAGTCATGCAAAGAGCCAAATCACAAACAAACTCCCATTCACAAGTGCCACAAAACGAATAAAATACCAAGAAATACAGCTAACAAGGGAAGTGAAAGATCTCTGCAGGTAGAACTACAAACCACTACTCACAGAAATCAGAACCAACATAAATAGAAAAACAGTCCATGTTCACCTATGGGAGGAATCAGTATCATTAAATGGTTTTACTGTCCAAAACAATTTATAGATTCAACGCTATTCCCATTAAACTACCACTGACATTCTTCATAAAACTAGAAAAAACTATTTTAGGGAGAGAGATCCAAGATGGCTGATCACTAGCAGCTCGGGATCGTAGCTCCCAGTGAAAGCACAGAGAACAAGAGGATGCCACACTTTCAGACGAATTTTTGTTGCTTACGCACCAGAAGATTCCCGACAGAGGAGCCCCACGGGTTGCCAGTCGACTCTTGTGGCTGGCGAGGCGGTTTTGCCGCTGCCTTGGTGCAGCGGTTCTTGGTGCAGAGTCAGAAAAGCACCATCAATCATAATGCCACTGTTTTGGCCGGTGCAGTCGGTTGCTCAGATTTTAGCGCTGGGAATGAACAAGTTGGACGTCCACTCAGAAACCCAATTATAAATACAGCAATTATAAAGACCACAGATGGATAAATCTATAAAGAAGGAAAGAAAACAGTCTAAAAAGGCTGAGACTACCCCAAATCAGAACACCTCTCCCTCTACAGGGGATCACATTTCCTCATCAGCAACGGAACATGGCCTGATGGAGAATGAGTGTGTTCCATTAACAGAAGCAGGCTTCAAAAGGTGGATGATAAGGAACTTCTGTGAATTAAAAGAACTTGTTCTAACCCAATGCAAAGAAACTAAGAACTGAAAAAAGGTTTGATGAAATGTTAACAAGAATACACAATTTAGAGAGGAATATAAGTGAATTAATGGAGCTGAAAAACACAACACAAGAACTTTGCGAACTATGCACAAGTTTTAACAGCCAAACTGATCAAGCAGAAGAAAAGATATAAGAAGTCGAAGACCAACTTAAGGAAATAAAATGAGAAGACAAGATTAGAGAAAAAAGGATAAAAAGGAAGGAGCAAAGTCTCCAAGAAATATGGGACTATGTGAAAAGACCTAATCTACGCTTGATAGGTGTACCTGAATGTGATGAACAGAATCAATCCAAGCTGGAAAATATGCTTCAGGATATTATTCAGGAAAACTTTCCCAACCTAGCAAGACAGGACAAAATATTCAACTCCAGGTAATACAGAGAACACCACAAAGATTTTCCTCAAGAAGACCAACCTCAAGGCACATAATCACCAGATTCACCAGGGTTGAAATAAAGAAAAGATTGAGGGCAGCCAGAGAGAAAGGTCAGGTTACCCATAAAGGGAAGACTATCAGACTCACAGCAAATCTCTCAGCAGAAACCCTGCAAGCTAGAAGAGAGTGGGGGTCAATATTCAACATCCTTAAAGAAAAGAACTTTCAACCCAGAATTTTACATCCAGCCAAACTAAGCTTCATAAGCGAAGGAAAAATAAAATCTTTTGTGAACAAGCAAGCACTCAGAGATTTCATCACCACCAGGCCTGCTTTACAAGAGCTTCTGAAAGAACCCCTACATATAGAAAGGAGCAACCAGTATCAGCTTTTCTAAAAAATACCAAAAAGTAAAGACCATCAACATAATCAAGAATTTACATCAACTAATAGGCAAAACAGCCAGCTAACATTAAATGGTGGTATTAAACTCACATATATTATTATTAATTCTAAATTTAAATTGACTAAATCCCCTAATCCAAAGACACAGATAGATATGCTGCATCCGGACCCATCTCACATGCAAGGATACACAAAGACTCAAAACAAAGGGATGGAGAAAGATTTACCAACCAAATGGAGAGCAAAAATAAATAAATAAATAAATAAAAAGCAGGAGTTGCTTTAAAGCAACAAAGATCAAAAGAAGCAAAGGATATTACATAATGATAAAAGGATCAATGCAACAAGAAGAGCTAAAGATCCTAAATATATACACACCCAATACAGGAATACCCAGATATATAAGACTTATAAAGAGACTTAGACTCCCACACAATAATAGTGGGAGACTTCAACATCAATATTAGACAGATCAATGAGACAGAAAATTAACAATGATATCCAGGATTTGAACTCAGATCTGGAACAAGTAAACTTAATTAACATTTATAGAACTCTCCACTTTAAATACACAAAATATACACTCTTATCAGTACCACATCACATCTATTTACAGGTTTCAATGAAATATTGGTTGGCTGCTTGTTTGTCATTTTCTTCCCTCATTTTTTTTTTATGTCTCTATTATTAAGCACAATTATAGGCATACCCATTTTTAGATTGCATTCTAGCCCGGGCAATAAAGCAACACCCCTGTTCTCTCTCCCTCTTCCTCTTTCTCTTTCTTCCTCTCCTTCATTCTTTTTCTTTCTTTCTTTCTTTCTTTTTTTTTTAAGAAAAAAAAAAAAGAAGGTGTTTCTCTATCAAACAAAAACAAAAAAAAGAAACCTTGTAAAATCATGATGAATACAGGGACAATAGGATGGAAATCAGCCAATAAAGACTTAAATTTTGGAATTAGATAAAGTTTGAACAGAAGGAAGTTCTGCTATTTATCACCAGTTGTGTTATCTTAAGCTGTAATATCAATTTGAGCTTTGGTATCTTATCCACAAATGAAGAATAATAATACTTTACTTCACACCAGGTTGTGAGGATTAAGTGGAATCCTGTTTGTAAGTAGCCTAGCCTAGTACCTTCTTAGAGTAGCTGTTCAATCCATGTTAAACCATGTTAAAAAAAAACAAACTATTTTAAAGTTCATATGAAACAACAACAAAAAAGCCTGAATAACCAGGTGATCCTAAGCAAAATGAACAAAGGAGGCATCACACTACCTAACTTCAAATTATGCTACAGGGCTACAGTTATCAAAACAACATAGTACTGGTACAAGAACAGACACAGACCAATGGAATAGAGAGCCCAGAAATATGGGCGCACACCTATAACCATCTGATCTTTAATAAAGTTGACAAAAGCAAACAATGAGAAAAGGACTTCCTATTCAATAAGTGGTGCAGGGATAACTGACTAGACGTATGCAGAAGCTTGAACCTGGACCCCTTTCCTTAAATCAGATACAGAAATCAACCCAAGATGGATCAAATATTTAAATGTAAAACCCAAAACTATAAAAACCCTGGAAGACACCCTAGGCAATACCATTCAGGACATAGGGATGGGCAAAGATTTCACAACGAAGATGCCAAAGCAATTGCAATCAAAGCAAAAATTGACAAATGGGATATAATTAAACTGAGGAGATTCCACACAGCAAAATAACGTATCAACAGAGTAAACAGATCACCTACAGAACGAGAGAAAAATTTTGTAAGCTATGCATCTGACAAAGGTCTAATATCCAGCATTTATAAGGAACTTAAGTTTGCAAGAAAACAAGCAACCCCATTAAAAAGTGGGTGAAGGACGTGAAAAGACACTTCTCAAAAGAAGACATGCATGCAGTCAATAGTCATAAGAAAAAAAAACTCAACATCACTGATCATTAGAGAAATGTCAGTGAAAACCACATATGAGTTACCATCTCACACTAGTTGGAATGACTACTATTAAAAAGTCAAAATAACAGGTGCTGGTGAAGTTGTGGGGAAAAAGGAATGCTTATACACTGTTGGTAGGAGAGTGAATTAGTTCAACCATTGTGGAAGATGGTGTGGTGGTTCCTCAAAGACCTAAAGTCAGAAATACAATTTGACCCAGCAATCCTATTACTGGGTATATGTTCAAAGGAATATAACTGATTCTATTCTAAAGACACATACATGTGTACTTTCAGTGCAGTACCATTCACAGTAGCAAAGACGTTGAGTCAACCCAAATGCCAATCAATGATAGACTGGATAAAGAAAATGTGGTACATATACACCATGGGGTACTATGCAACCATAAAAAAAAATGAGATCGTGTCCTTTGCACTAATCACACCTATATAAGATGAAAACTTACTCAACAAATGTTTTTTCTGACTGCTCCAGTAACTGGACATTCACTGTTTCCTGCTTGTTGGGCCTCCCTGTGTCCTGAGACACAATAATATGAAAATTAGGCTAATTAAGAACTTTATAATGGTCTGTAAGTGTTAAAGTGAAAGAAATAATTGCATGTCTTTCACTATCAATAAAAGCTAGAAATAGTTAGGCTTAGTGAGCAAAGTGTGTCAAAAGCTTAGATAGACCACAAGCCAGACCTCTTGCCCCAGTTAGCCAAGTTGTGAATGCAAAGAAAAAGTTCTTGAAGGAAGTAAACAGTGCTACTCCAGTGAGCCCATCATGAGTGTCTAAAAAGTAACATAGCCTTATTGCTGACATGGAGACATTTTTAGTGATCTGGATAGAAGCTCAAACCATACAGAAGGAGCAGAATTGAAAAAAAAAAAAAAAAAAAAAAGAAAGAAATACATAAAGAAGAAGTTGAAATCAGCCACAACATTCCCTTAATCGAAAGCCTAATCCAGAGAAAGGTCCTAACACAGAATTTATGAAGCCTGAAAGAGGTGAGGAAGCTGCAGGAGAAAAGTTTGAAGCCAGCAGAAGTTTGTTCATGATGTTTAAAGAAAAAAGCCATCTTCATCACATACAAGTGGAAAGTGAAGCAGCAAAGTGCTGATGAAGAAACTGCAGCAAGTTATCTAAAAGATCTAACTAAAATTATTAATGCAGTTGGCTACACTAAACAACAGATTTTCAATGTAGATTAAACAGTCTTATATTGGAAGATGATGCATCTAGGACTTTCATAGCTAGAGATGAGAGATCAATGGCTAGCTTAAAAGCTTCCAAGGGCAGGCTGACTCTCTGATGACCTATGCTAAGTCAAAGCCAATGCTCATTTTCCATTCTGAAAATCCTAGGGCCTGTAAGAATTATGCTAAGTCTACTTTTCCTGTGCTCTATACATGAACCAACAAAGCCTAGATGACAGCACACCTGTTTAGAGCATGGTTTACTAAATATTTTAAGCCCACTGTTGAGACCTGCTGCTCAGAAAAAAACAGATTTTTTTTTCAAATATTATCGCTCATTGATTGACAATGCACCTAGTCCCTGAAGAGCTCTGAAGGAGATGTACAAAAAGATGAATGTTGTTTTCATGCCTGATAACACAACATTAATTCTTCAGCTCATACATCAAGGAATAATTTTGACTTTCAGCTCTATTATTTAAGAAATACATTTTGTAAGGATTGAACTGCTATGATTCCTCTGATAGATCTGGGCAAAGTAAATTAAAAACCTTCTGGAAAGGATTCACTATTTTAGATGCCATTAAGAAAATTTGTGACTCATGGGAGCTGGCCAAAAAATCAATATTAACAGAAGTTTGAAAAAAGTTGATTCCAACTCTCATGAATGATTTCAAGTGGTTCAAGACTTCAGTGATGTAAGTAACTGCAGATGTAGTAAAATTAAAAGAGAACTACAATTAGAAGTATGCCTATGTAACAAATCTGCATATCCTGCACATCCCATTTTTTAAAGAAGAAATAAAGGAAAAAAAAAAGAATTGGAGCTTGAAGATGTAATTGAATTGCTTCAATATTACAGTAAAACATTAATGGATGAAGACTTACTTCATATGGATCAGCAAATAAAATAGTTTCTTGAGATATAATCTACTGCTGTGAAGATGCCATGAGTATGGTTACAATGTCAACAAAAGATTTATAATAGTATAACATAAACTTACTTGATAAAGCAACAGCAGGGCTTAAGGATTGACTCCAATTTTGAAAGAAGTACTACTATGGGTAAAATGCTATCAAAAAACATGTCATGCAGAAAAATCTTTAATTAAAGGAAGACTAAATCAATGTGAAAAACTTCATTGCTGTCTTATTTTAAGAAATTGCCACAATCACCCCAACCATCAACAGCTACCACCCTAATCAACCAGTAGCCAACAGCATTGAGAAAAAACTTTCCACCAGCAAAAAGATTACTCACTGAAGGCTCAGACGATTGTTTCCATTTTTTGACAATGAAGTATTTTAAATTATGTAAATTGTTAAAATATCATGCTATTTCACACTTAATAGATTACAGTATAGAACTATATATAACTTTTGTATATACTCAGAAAACCAAAAATTTGTGTGATTCACTTTATCATGGTATTTGCTTTATTACAGTGCTCTGGAACCAAACTTACAGGTACGCCTGCATGTATATGCCTATATTTAAGGACTTTATAGGTACATATAATCTGTTTAAGATACTCACACAAAAAGTTACATATTGATCAGTTAATGAAAATGTGATCAGAGACTCACAGGAACATAAACCAGTACTACCACTAGGACCAATGTTTCAATATTTGTTAATTCAGCATTTCCGACATTACAGATTAACATATCTATTGAAATATAATAAAATGTAACTGGATATAGAGATAAAATTTATTTCTGCATGCTGCATATTGTATTGTGTGACTTAGTCAAAGTTGTTTATTACTAGTATATTGTATGTGTGGTAGTGGGGGACATGTATTCTTTATCATTTAATGTATACATATATACATATATTTTTTGTAATTAAAACACTTTTACTTCTTTCTTTTAAATATTGAGGTATTTTATTTTTCATTTTTTTCTTGCTTGACTGCTTGACAAGAATATCCAGTGCAGTGTTGAACTGAGTAGCAAGAGTGAATATCCTTGTCTTATGATTTTAGAAGGAAAGCATTCTTTCAACTTTAAGTATGATGTTAGCTGTAGGTTTTTCATGTATAACCATTAGAAGGCAAAGGAAGTTTCCTTCTGTTACTAGTTTGTTGAGAGCTTTTGTCATAAAGGAGTTTTAAATTTTATCAAATACCTTTCTCTATTTATTGAGATGATTACAGTTTTTGTATTTACTCTATTTATGTGGCATATTACATTATTGATTTTCAGATGTTAATCTACCTTGCATTGTTTAACAAATCTCATTTTGATTATGGTGTATAATCATTTTTATGTGCTACTGGATTCTATTTAGTAATATCTTTTGAGAATTTTTTCACATGTATTAATAGTGGATATTGGTCTACAGCTTTCTTTCCTTGGAATGTCTTTGGCTTTGGTGTTGCAGCTTCATAGAATGAGTTGGGGAGTGTTCTTTTCTCCTCTGTTTACTGAAAGAATTTGTGGAAGATTGGTAATATTTATTCTTTAAATGCTTAATAGAATTCACCAGTGACGCCATGTAGTCTCAGTTTTTCTTTATTGGAAACTTTTTAACTTCTTCACTTGTTTTAGTTCTATTCATATTTTTTATTTGTTTTTGAATTAGTTTTGGGCCATCTCATCTAAATTGCCTAATTAAATGACAATATTGTTTATCATATTTTCTTACAGTATTTTTAAAGTTTCTGTAGGGTAGGCAGTTGTACCCCTTATTTCAACCCTGATTTTAATAATCTCAGCCTTTTCTTTTTTCTTCAAGAGTCATAAGGATTTTCAACTTTGCCAGTCTTTCCAGAAACACAACTTTTGGTTTCAATGATTTTCTGTCTTTTACTTCATTGATTTATACTCTATTTTTTTTTTATTATTTTCTTCCTTCTGCTTTCTGTGAATCTTGTTGACTCCTCTTTTTCTAGCCTGTTAGTACATAAACTATCCCATTAGTTTTAGATATTCTTTCTTTCTTTACTAATACAGGTAATTATATTATAGGCCAACATTTATAAAATTATTTATTTCTTTCAAATTTCTATAGAGGCAACCTTCACCACTTCCTCACTCCGTAAGCAACAGGAGGAACATGAGAAGCTGGGATGAAAACACCATTTTGAGGGATCTGTTTGTCTGATGCTGGTCAGAACCTATTACCAGAGGAAGCTTCCTTATTTAACCCCCTTCGAATAGGGTCCGCTTGGGAGGGGGAGTAAAAGCAAACAAAACTCTTAGGCAGTATGACAGTTTTAGTGGACAATCTTAGGTTGGCCCCATGATATATAACCACTGGTGTTTCATAAACTGTGTAATTCCCTCTTCTTGAGTCTGGGCAAAATTTGTGACTTCCTTCTAGCATACACAATGTTACAAAGGTGAAAGTATTTTGCAGATGCAATCAGGGTCCCAAATCAGTTGGGCTTGAGTTAATGATAAAGGAGATCATTCTGAGTAGATCTGACTTAATTAGATCAAAGCCATTAAAAAGGGAACTGAGCCCTCCTTGTTACCAAGAAATTCTCCTAGCTGGTTTGATTATTAGTAGCCCATGTGGCAGGAAACTTCAGATGTTCTCTAGGACCTTAGGGTGATCTCTAGCTAATAGCCAGTTAAAAGCCAGGACCCTCACCCTTACAGTTACTGTGAAAATAATTCTGCCAACAATTTGAATGCTCTTGGAAGCAGACTCTCTAAATTTCCGGATGAGAATGCAGCCTGATCAACACCTTGACTATAGCCTGTGAGACCTTTAAGAGAGGACCCAGATAAGCCGTGCCCTGGCTCCCGACTCATAGAAACTGTGTGTGAATTATAAACGTGTTTTATTTTAAGCCACTAAATGTGTGATAATTTGTATGGGCCAATAGCCAACAAATAAAACCATTAAATTTCATATGTAGTGAGATAGAGTTGCAAACTTAGAAACCAATGCAAATCTTATTAGACTGAAATGCTGCAAAAACCTATTTTGCCAGAGTTTCTCTGCTTCCTTTGGGGAGGATGGAGAAGACTGAGGGAGGCCAAGGTGGGGATGGAAGAGCACATGATCATGAATCTTTCTATGATGGTGGCTGTGCATACTCACATTTCTGGAGTCCATTCTACTTGTAGTGCTAGAGCAATTAGAAAAGCAAAAAGAGAGAAGATGAGGGAAAACCTTGACAATGAGCACAGAAGATATCACAGGAAAAGGACAAGACGTATAATCCCAGCACTTTGGAAGGCTGAGATGGGTGGATCCCTTGAGGGCAGGAGTTCGTGACCAACCTGGCCAACATGGTGAAACCTTATCTTTACTAAAAATACAAAAATTAGCTGGGCATGGTGGTGGGTACCTGTAATTCTAGCTACTTGGGAGACTGAGGCAGGTGAATCACTTGAACCTGGGAGGTGGAGGCTTTCATGAGCCAAGATTGTGCCATTGCCCTCCAGCCTGGGTGACAGAGTGAGACTCTGTCTCAAACATAAAATAAATAAAATAAGTAAAGTACAGTAAAATAAAATAAAAAAAGAAAACGTAAAAGGACATGGACACTGTACGAGGAATAAAGGACAGGTTATTAAATCTGGAGCTGAGAATCTAACTTTTGGGAAAGACACAGAGATAGAGACATCTAAATTAAATGAGCAGAGATAACTACCTCACAATTCTTAGGTTTCTAAATAACTAGAAACACCTTTTCATGTGGATTCAGCAAATAAAAATGGGGAAACATCGAAATTCAGGTGAGAAGGTCACCTATATCTCAAAGACATAGAGCTAAAAATTTTGACTATTCAGAGCATTTTTTAAAATGACTACAAATCTTCCTTAAAGTGTAAAATTCTTCGTTGGTAAGGGTCTTTGACATAAAAATGTACATTGAAAAGTACAAAATTCCAGAGACGTCCTGATGCAGTAAAGAAATGATCAAATCATAAAGCTGATTGTAACTGTAACACACACAGGCGCGCACACACACATATCAGTTTAAGGATTTTCTCTTTGATAGTTTGACCCCTTTGTTCAAACAAGTCTATGACAGCAGGCTGATGGATCTGGATAAAAAGCCACATCTGAGGGATTTGAGCTTCAGGGAGCAGCTACCTGGGGAAGTTTTTGTTTAGACATGAATCACTGTGGGAGGAACATTCTTACTCTGCTGACAGTAATAGTTGGCAGCATCGTCAGCTTCCACAGGATCAATTGTGAGGATGAAATTGGTCCCAGACCCACTGCCACTGAACCTGTCTGGGACCCCCGTGTCTTTATTGGATGCTTGGTAAATCAGAAGTTTAGGGGGTTGTGCTGGTTTCTGCTGATACCAATGAATGAAGTTCATTCCTACGAAACTGACACTCTCACTGGCTCTGCAGGTGATGGTGGCCCTCTGCCCTGGAGACACCGCCAAGGAGGCTGGAGACTGGGTTAGCACAATGTCTCCAATGCAACCTGAAATGATAAAGACAAATAAAATATATTATGTACTGAGACTATCCCCATGTAGGCCCATGCCTTGGTGACACCTGTAACTACAGTCATGTGCAACATCTTGAGTAACCAGAAAACAAAAAGTAACTGGGGAACTTATAACCTACAATGAATGTCTTAACTCCAACAACCGAGAACCCAGAGACACAAACAACAATGAGGGCCACATGAGTTTGCCCAGTGTTTCTCTACACCCCCCTCACCTGGAGCCCAGAGCAGGATGATCCATAGCAGAAGACCCCCTGACCCCATCTCTGAGAGCTGAACTAGAGGCTGCTTTTCAGGAGCCCTGACAAGCTGCCTTTAAGGATGCTCTGTGCAGCTTGAACCCAACATGCAAATCAGCTCAGAAAAGTTTGGGTTGGTGCTCAAAGGGGACACCTGCTTTTATTTCACCCAGAGGGAGGAGGGGCTAACAAAACATTTCCTACGTAGCTCAAGCATGTCGCAAGGGATTTTGTGATCTTTTCTATCGGATTTTTGCTGGCCAGTCTACTTGAGATGCCATGTGGAGGAGTGTACTGGGGCTGCCCTGCCATTTGGATATAAGTTATTTCAGAAATACTGTTGATTTCTCAAAATTCAAATGTTATATCATTATGAATAATAACACATTTAAACTTGTATCATTGTCAGAAAGAGAAAGCAAGTTGGGTAGTTTTACAAAACTAGTTTGTATGAAAAGGGGAAGTTTGTTCCACTGAGTAAGTGGTATTTAAAACAAGTCTACAAATGTAATCATGATCTGGAAAGGATGAGGGGGGTGAGCATGAAACCTTGATGAAGACTGGAAACTTAAACTAATTAAGGAGCTTGCCTCAGTGTGGACAAGGCACCTACTTAGTACTGAAACCAAGGCTATCTCCACAAGAGGCCCTCAGAAGCAGAAGAGTCATTGTAGTGGATCCTATTCGGAGTGGAGAACAACCATCCCTAACTCGCACTGGTTCCATCTGCCTTGCCACTGGAAGCTGAGAGCTAGGGAACTCCATCTTCTCTACAGCAAGATATGGTGCCCACGCATGAGCCAGCTGGCAGTCTTACCCACTCATAGGTGAAGGTTTTTTTCCCCATCAAAACAAGTCTAAAATGTCTGGAAGAAGGGATTGCATCTTCAAATGTGTAGACAGCAACAGAAGGCTATAAGGAACATGAAAAGTCAGGGAACATGATGCCAAACATCACTTCTCCATGAGCTCCACTGCAGGACTCTATTCTGTTACTTGTGATGGAGTTCAGGGCCAGAGAGGCCCCTCTATGCTGCTTCCAGCTGTGCACCGGGGTCCCTGATTACTCAGGTCTATTTTTTCATTGATATTAACATGCATATTAGCATACTTAACTAAAAGTTTTCTTTTAACACTCTGGGAATTCATTTTACATTTTAAAAATTTTATGTTATTTTATTTTATTTTGATTAAGGATCTAGGTAAAACTAGAATAATGGTCTTTCTACATCTCAAATATACAGTTTTATAAACAGTTGAAAATGAACACCTGAGAATTACAAATACCCCTTAGGGCAAAGGAGAAGAGTGGGAATTTAGATTAGTGTGGTAAGTTTGAGTGGAAAGTACTATAACCCTCTTGTTTTTCCTAAATAGTTAAATTCTGCTTACCTAGTTCTGTTCCCCTAGAAGGAATTAGGAATAATGGAATTTGAGTATTCCTTGAAAAAACAACATTTTCAAGAAATTTAAGAAGTTTTCAAACTTTAGCCTTTCAGATGTCTAGTACATAGCTCTGGAAAACAGAGCAAGCTTCAAATTGTAGATTAAAAAGAAAGATAAAATATTTCAGAGGAACCAATATGCCATGAGAAAAGTGCTGAAAAACTCCACCTGAAGCCTTGATTAGGGTGGGGACAATCCCTGAGCTTTGCCCCCTCCTACAACTCTGGTGGAGTAGGACAAAAATAAAGGTAGGAAGTAAAAGGCAGTTGATTGGGGGGAAATTTGCATTTTTTATTAGGCAATCTAGGTGACTAATCATTAAGAAGACTCTAGAAAATAGAGACAAACTTGGCTACTTTAAAATGTCCACTGCCCCATCCTCTGACTTCTACTCTTTGTCCAGCAACCAAGTGATAAAAAGGATTTACTAAACACAGCCTGCAAGGACACAGTCCTCAGAGTCAGTTCTGGGGTGGAGGTAGGGAAGGTAATGACAAAATGCACCCACGTGTGTTTGGAGCAATCAAGAAATACTGAACTTTACCATATGTTGGCAAACAGAAGACTTAGATAGAGCAACCCCATCAAGGATAAGTAATTTGACATTAAATGATACTGAAAAATTACAAATATAACATGGGGGAGGGCTGTATGACTGACAAAAATACATGGCAAGTAAATAATACATTAGATGACTCTTTGAAAATGACGTATTACAGTAAAACAAAAGTATTTTCTGTAGCAAATGATTGTAAATTTAGAAGCCACATGCGCGCGCGCACACACACACACACACACACACACACACACACACACAGTTAAATTTATCTTCAAGGATGAGATAATTAGCAAGAAAATAATAGTTAAAATAAATGTATCTGGCTACAGGGAGAGGTTTAAAAAAGTAAGGCAGAACTAGTAATTGTAACATAGAAAAAATATAACCAGAGAGAGAAATAAATGGTGTCAAAGACACATAAGGTAAGTTTAGCAAAAGAATAAAATTTAGAAAAAAAGCCAAGAAAAACCCCAATTACAGATAATTATAGAAAGGACAGAAAACAAGCAGCCAATATACATTGATAATTGATGTGTTTTAATTATACAATTTAATAAAATGGTAAATGAAATAAAATGTAATCACATAATGACCAGGATGTCAATATATTTAAATGAAGATATGTTAAAACACCCCATCATAACATATATATATATATATAAAAAATGTATATACATACATATTTATTAAATACATAAATATAAAAAGATATATCTATAAAAATTATTTAACATAAAGAACTTACATGAATTCATTTCTGACTTGGTATTTAAAGAGACTATTTAAGCCAGAAGAAAAAGGAATTATAAAATAAACAAAAAATGAATATAAAAAGAAAGCGACAGAAACCCAACGTAAAGTTTCTAAGTAGAAGTTTTAAATCAATATCAAACACAAAATTATACACTGAAAAAAATAAATACATATAAAAATAAAAGTAAACTATTTACAACAATCAAAGACATCTCACAAAATAATAAGAAAGTAAAGTTAAATTAGAAAAATAATCCATAAAATTTACAAATTGTATCTCATCAAAATTGAAGTTTCTGATCTGAAAAAAATATCTATTAAAGGGGTATAATAAATTGAAAGTACACTTACCATGTAATTGAGCAAATGAACTCTTGAGCAATTATCTCAGAGAAGTGAAACATTATTACAGAGAAACTTGTACACAAATGTTCACAGAAGTTTTATTTACAATAGCTAAATCAAGGACGTTACCCAATGTCTTTCAGTAAGTAGTTAAATGGGGTAATCCATATCATAGAATACATTCAGAAATAAACAGCAATGAATTACCAATACATCCAACTTTGATGAGCCTCAAGGATGTTATGCTCAGTGAAATAAGCCAATCTCAAAATGCTACTTATTACATGATGTCTTTCACATGATGTATGTCAAGGGATAAAGACGGGGTAAAGAAGGGGGGTGTGGCTCTGAAAAGGTAATGCCAGGAGTCTTATGATGATAATTTAGCTGAGTTTCTTGATTACAGTGGTGGTTATACAAGGCCACATACATGATTCATTCACATAGAGCTACACACACATACACACAATCACATAAACAAAAATTGAGTGCATGTGTAACTTGTGGAAACTGAGTAAGTTCTATGGATGATACCAGTGTTAATTTCATGTCTTTGATATTGTACTATTGTTTGAAGGATGTCAACATTGGAGAAAGTTGAATGAAGATGCATGAGGCTTCTGTATATTTCTCTGCAAATTCCTGTGAACCTATAATTATGTAAAAATCAAAAGTAAAAAAAAAAGCTTTATTACTTGAAAACCTTGAAAAAAATAGGGGGGTGTTAAACAACGAGAACACATGGACACAGGGAGGGGAACATCACACACTGGGGTAGGTTGGGGGGTTCCTAAGGGAGAAACAGCAGGGGTTGAGGAGGCTGGGGAGGAATAACATGGGGGAGAAATGCCAGATATAGGTGACAGGGGGATGGAGGCAGCAAACCACCTTGCCATGTATGTACCTCTGCAACAATCGTGCATGATCTGCACATGTACCCCAGAACCTAAAGTACAATTAAAAAAAAAGAATTGTCCTTTTTCTTTCAAGATTGGCATGAAACTTTAAGCTTTATGCTTCCCTCTGCTGGTGGAAATGGAGGGGTATGGTAAAGGCACACTCCACACAACTGGTGGCTGCAATGTGAATTTCTACAGACATTTCTAAGTAATTGCTGCTCACTATTGGAGTGAAATTTAAAATATGTATACTTGTTGGCCCAAACTTACTACTATGAAAATAGCCTATAGAAATAAAAACGTCTGAATGCTTATCAGTGAGAGATGGCTAAATAAATTGTATTATTTCCATATTATGAAAAATTATACAACTGTTGAAAGAAAGGGTTAATTTCATACAATTGATCTGTTTACTATACAATATCAAGTGTTAAAGCAGAAATACAAAAATGTTTTGATAATACATAATCCAATGTTCGAGAACCTATAATGATAACCACTATTATCATATACAATATAGTATTAGACAATATAGCATACACAACATAGTATACACAATAGCATACACAATAGCATAGCGTACACAATATGGTAAAATTTAGCACACACAATATAGTAAATTTTTAAATATATTACATATGTTTTGCTTTTCTTAGGGTGACTATAGTTTTCTCACTAATAGAAGCACAGTAAGTCGATTAAACCAAAAATCATGACGCAATTACATAGGGAGGAAGTCAGAGCACTCTGTTCTTAAGTTCTGCTCTAGGGAGAAACTATTCAACCAGCCTAATGTGCTATAGTTTTATTATTGTCTAATTACTGGGGAAAGAGAAATACTCAACTCCATCCAGCTCTAGCATCCTGTCCTACCTACATGGGTGGAGAAAGAAACAAAGAGACACTTGTGATGTTTACAGTCCACAAACATAAGCTCACTAAAGCACTGAACCCTAAGCATAGGAGTATAGAATGCCTCTCTTCCCCTAGACCTCACCCTCATGTTATTAAAGGCCTATTTCTAGCACTTCTTTCACCCAATATATTTTATCTGGCCATCAAGTAAAAATTATAAGGTATAATAGAAGGCAAGAATACACAGTTTGAAGAGATCAAGCAAGCATCAGAACCAGACATGGCAGGGATGTTGTAATTTTTAAAAGAGGAGCAATGTAAACTGAAAGATGAAGATCCCAAAAGAAGAGCAAACAAAAATGCTGATGATTAAAGAACAAAACAAAACAAAATAGAACACTGTAACAGAAACGACTGAGTATGGCTGGGAAAATAAATCTGATCTTGAGAGCATATTGATCGAAATCTCCAAAACTGAAGAGAAAAGAGAATAAAGACTGAAAACCAAACAAATACCCAACAGCTGCGAGACAGATACAAAAGCTTTAACAGTGTTTAACCCTTTTCCTCTTTTTTAAAAAAGGTACAGTTTGCTGCCAGCATTCATTTAATTTTACATAAACACGCTCTTTGAGGCTGAAGCAAATCTGACTGATTTTCAATGTGAAATAAAGTATAAAATTGTTCTTGGAATTGTTTCTAAACAGAACTTGTCTCTAATCCTAATGTAACAGAAATGTATATGATAATCAATATTTAATATTTTTTTGTGTGGTAAGTGGTAAATTTCAAAGTACAGAACAGCATAAAGTGGAAGATCACATTCCACACAAAAATATCATGTTTCTCTCCAGATTGTCTTGCTAGACCTCTCTTTGTACAAGCAGCAAACTTTGCAGTGACCAGTTGGATTTTGTTTCCCTGATGTTGGTGGTATGCTTTTGGGGAAATGTCTTCCATACAGGTGAAGAGGCATGACATCATGGGAGCATGGATGACCTTGAAGACTTTGCTGCCCTGGCTTGTAACGCTTTAACAGCATTTTTTTGATCAACGTCCATCTGAAGTTTACATGGCTATTCGTGTGCTCAAGATGGTCCTTCTTGAACAGGATGTAGAAGTCCATTCAGCACCGCAATGTTTAGAAGGTGGTGAAAGAATTTCTTAGACCAAATCTTGTGCCTTTTGAAGAAGTGAGCATCAAGTCAGCTAAGTCCACTCTTCCCATCTTCTCATTATAGTCCACTCCTTCCTTCTTCTCATGATAGTCCACAATGGCACATGGCTTCTTAGTTTTCTTTCCATTTCTGTTGTCTACTTCAATCACAGCATCATTGAGGAATGTTGGCAACATTCTGACCTTATTCTTTCTGCTTGGGGTAAATGCCATAGCTGCAAGTGCTGCCAGCAAGTATTCTTGGGCAAAAGGTAAACAAATGGGTTAATGGACATGAAGAAAAATGAGGAGGACAGGTAAACAATATTGACTAAAATTTTTTCCAAATTAATGTCAGACATGAAACTACAGATCAAGAAAACCAGAAAACACCAAATGGTATAAATAAGCAAACAAGCAATAAAAAAATACACTTGAGCATATCATTTTAAACTATAGGAAGTCAAGAAGAAAAATATTGAAAGGAAAGAGAGAGAGAGAGAGAGAGCATGAACGTAAGAGAAACAAACCTTTTGTATAGAGGAGCAAATATAAATATTGCATCCAACTTCTGTGAAACAGGAAGCATTCTTCACTTCAATGTAAGCAAGAAGGGAGTACAGTGAAGTATTTGTGCAGAGAGAAGAAAACCACCAACCTAGGATTCTATTTTCTGTGAAATCATCCTTCAAAAGGAAATTATAAGCGATGACTTTCTCAGACAAACAATAACTCAGAAAATTTGTTGCCAGTAAACATGCTTTGCAATAAACAGAAAAAGAAATTTTTTTTGAGAGAAGGAATATAGTATGTCAGAAATTTGAATTTATATGAAAGAAGAACATCAAGAAGAAATAAGTGAAGGCAAAATTAAAGAACATTTTTTCTTATTCTTAACTGATATAAAATTTTTTAAAAAAATAGCAGCAATATAATTATACATGCTTATGTAAATTATACATGCTTATGTAAATTATACATTTACAGACATAAATATGCACATATACACATACATACATACTGATTTATGCATATATGTGAATGACAATAATATAACAAATGGAAAAAATTAGAAATACTTTGTTATTATCAGGTACTCACATAACCTATGAAATGGTATAGTAGTAGTATTTGAAAATGGGCTTGAATTAGTTGTAAATGTATATTGAAAACTTCAGAGCAGCACTAAAAGTGGTTAAAAAATCTAATATGCTAATAAAGGAGATAAAATAGAAGTGTATAAGATGCAAAATTAAAACCATTAAAAAAACAGAAACAAGTAGAAGATAAAAATAGAAAAAGAAACACCCAAGGACATTAAATAGAAAACAGTGAAAATATGGTAGACATTAATCCAAGGTATCAATAATTAGTTGAAGCATCAAGTGTCTCAATGTACAAATTAAAGATATATTATTAGAGTGTATCAAAAAGGAAGATTCAACTATATGGTGTCTACAAGAAACCTAATTAAAATATAAAGACACATACAGATTAAAAAGTATGTGAATGAAGAAAGATATACCATGCTAATGTTAATTAAAAGAAAGCACAAGTAGCTATATTAATTTCAGAAAAGAAGATCTCAAAGCAAGGAAAGTAACCATGGACAAAAAAAGCATTGCTTATGATAAAGGGGCCAATTCTTCAAGAAGACAAGGCAATGCTTAACATGCATGAGTTTTACAACAGACTGTCAAAATAAATGAGGCAAAAACTGGCAGAATTACAAGATACAGCTTGTAAATTACAAGAATATACAGTTAAAGACTTTAACACTTCACTGTCAGAAATGAATAGGTCCAGCAAGCAGAAAATCCATAAAAACAGTCAAGCTCCACAACACTATCAATGAACTATGTATAATTGCCATCTGCACACTATTGTGTCCAAATACATATTTTTTTCAAGATCGCATGGAATATTCTCTGTGATAGGCTTAATTCTGGGTCATAAAACACTGTAACATATTTCAAAGAATAGAAATCATTCAGTGCCTTCTCTCAAACCACAATGGGATTAAAATAGAAATCAATACCAAAATGTAGACAATCCCCAAGTATGTAGAGATTAAACAGTACACTTCCAAATAACAAAAGAGTCAAAGAGGAAATCTCAGGAGAAATTTAAGAAGATTTTGAACTAAAT